TTTAGCTTTTTTTAATATTGGCTGTATATTCCCAATTAACCACTTCAAATCTCCCGTGGTTGAGTTCATGAATTATTTTTCGAATTCAAATAAATTAAGTCAGATATAAGATATATAAGATATAGTCAGATGGAATAATACAGGATTCATCTTAAAATTGTAAATGAACAAAACGTTTGTTGTTGTGTTCTACAAGTCGATAATTCTATAACTTCAATATCTTGTCGTAGATAGTTGACTGCATTTCTCTTGGAATTATTTAAAATTTCTGTTGGGATTATTCGGAATCTTTCTTGAGAATTTATCTAAGCTATGTCTGAATGAGATTCTTCGATGTGTTATTTTGTAGATCTGTAAATTCACCTGAATCCTTATGAGAGTTCTTCAAATTTTCAAATGCTTAGATTCTCCAAAATTTCTCTAGGGATTCTTCAAAATTCCAAATAAGATTTATCTCCGCAATTCCTTCTGGAATTTCGATTGAGATTCTTTGCAATCTTTCTTGGGTTTATTTGGTAACTTTACCACTCATGGCTTTCGTGACTTATGCGTGATCCGAATTTTATCTTTTGATTCACCAGAATCCTATTTGTTATTCAGCGTTCGAAGTACCCTCGAAATATACATGGGTTCCCTCGTACAAAAAAATATATAAATTTTAACCATCGTGTAAGGTCTCCCTCGATTAATTTTGAGCTGAAATTGTTTGCAATTTATGCAATATCCCGCTTAAATTTACATAAAATATCGTGTAAAGCCAAATCTAGCGTTAACTGCCGTTGCCGTTGCGTATACAATCCAACGTCCACCGCCCGGCAGTGTTTTTATGGAAGAAAAATGTTTGTAATATAATCTATTATTAGCTTATACTGATCCCATTGCAAACAATTTTAGCCCGGAAGTTGAAAGGAGATAGCTCTGTTGAGATTTAGTAACCCATTTCAGAATGCCTGGTCACTCACGTCCATTCCGAGGTTACTTTCACTTACAACAAGCCCCACAAAAAACGTAGTACCGATATAAAATGTATATTGGTACTGCGTGTACACTTCCATCATCAAAGCAATTCCTGCTTTGTAGATGACACGTATTTAGTAGGATGCATTTCATATTTTTATATCTAGTTGTAATCAGCTTATGTATTGTGTCCTTGCTGCTGAATCGTTGTCATCTGAATCTAACATTAGCGGTTCTGCTTGCTCTGTGAAATTTTGTTTTCTCTTCTATTGGAAAATCATATTTCCGAAATGCAACTGAGACACATTCTGTCAGCTTTTGGAGTCCATAACTTCACTTTTACACTCACGAAAACACATGTTTTGCCTGTTGGCATATTTCGGGAGGCGTAGCACTACAGAAAAAAAACATGGCAGCACACGCGGCTACACACTGCTACGGACGGAACCCGGTTTAATTCTGTTTAAAAGCACTATAGTTAGTCAGTTCCGAACTAACGTGATAAAACCTTAACTATATTTGCAAACACTGTTAGATGGATTAGATATACAACTTTACCCTAACATCAGGTTAAGGACATATAAATAAAAATAAAAATTTTACACTCTAGCGATAACCAGTGATTCGATCCTAACTAAATTGTTCACTGCCAGAATGGTCTTATCCAGATTAACAACGTTGCCGAAGACAAGAAACTTCAATTTCGTCACGATTCTGATTAATCATTAGAAGAACTCTATTTGAACATTGGCACCACCTAGCGAGTCAATTTCGAATTAAATTGTTCACTACGGAACGGGTCTCGTCCATTTGAATAGCTTTGCTAAAGACAGGAAACTTTTATCTGTTCAAGATCCTGAGTAATCACTAGATGAATTGTATTTGTACTCTGACGCTACCTAGTGAATCACATCTGAACTAAACTCTCCTCTACCAGACGGGTATCGTCCAGCTGAACAACAATTGAATTTGATCGCCAGGTACGGCGTGACTGCTCGTTTAAACATTTCCTAGTACTTAACATAGTACTAATGAAAATACATATGCCCTTTTATAATATGAAGCTTGAGCCAAAATGGTCTTAATATCTGTGGAAGATTCATGCTACCAAATATATTATATTAACAATATAGGGTAAACGCTTCTATGGTTGTGGTACGTTAGAAGCTTTTGATTCCTATATGTGCTTATGGAGTCTCCATAAGCAACTATAGCAACCAAGCGCTCCTAACGTACCACAACTATAGGAGCGTTTACCTTACTCCACTCTTCTACTTTCCATATATCACTCAGCGGGCAAGAATATAACACCATCTAGCGTCTGGAAAGGTCTGCAGTAAGCGTTTTATAACAGCCCAGCCCAAGTAACATTGCAAGGCTTCAAAGGCTTCAACTCCAAACCATGTTTTACAAGACTATGATAAAACCAAAATTTTAACTTGGGCGGGGTGTGTGAATATCAATTATTACACAAGGAAAAGACAATTTTAATTCATTTATTACAATCGGGGTAAAAATTTGGCATGTAGACAAAATTTATAGGCTCCAATTAGAATATGATAATAATTGTCAAAACAAGTTTAGTTTCATAAAACAGCAAAAAAGGTTATCTTCCATTTAATTCCACTTAATTAATTTTGGTATCCATGACAGATACGTATTTCGACTACAATGTGCAGTCTTCATCAGTGTCATTCCCACTAAAGAACTTATCAAAATCTAACCCCCTTAAGTACTCATCCCCTAGGTAAAAAAAAGTCAAGATCATAGGTATAAAAATGAAACTACAATGTGTTGAATCGGAACCTACCTAACCAAAGATTTAAGTAAGCTAAAGGAGAAAAATCTATAAAACTCTCTAAAAAGGAAAATCCCCAAAGGCTTGGTAGCCATCATAATGAAGTAATGAAATTGGGTTGTTAGCGGAATGCTAAATAAAACAGCAAAAAAGGTTATCTTCCATTTAATTCCACCGATACGTATTTCGACTACAATGTGCAGTCTTCATCAGTGCCATTCCCACTAAAGAACTTATCAAAATCTAACCCCCTTAAGTACTCATCCCCTAGGTAAAAAAAAAGTCAAGATCATAGGTATAAAAATGAAACTACAATGTGTTGAATCGGAACCTACCTAACCAAAGATTTAAGTAAGCTAAAGGAGAAAAATCTATAAAACTCTCTAAAAAGGAAAATCCCCAAAGGCTTGGTAGCCATCATAATGAAGTAATGAAATTGGGTTGTTAGCGGAATGTTAAATAAAACAGCAAAAAGGTTATCTTCCATTTAATTCCACTTAATTAATTTTGGTATCCATGACAGATACGTATTTCGACTACAATGTGCAGTCTTCATCAGTTTGTGTTGTTGAAACTACAATGTGTTGTTTTTACAACCTACAACCTTTTTTGCAGTTTTATTTAGCATTCCGCTAACAACCCAATTTCATTACTTCATTATGATGGCTACCAAGCCTTTGGGGATTTTCCTTTTTAGAGAGTTTTATAGATTTTTCTCCTTTAGCTTACTTAAATCTTTGGTTTTTATTAGTTAGGTAGGTTCCGATTCAACACATTGTAGTTTCATTTTTATACCTATGATCTTGACTTTTTTTTACCTAGGGGATGAGTACTTAAGGGGGTTAGATTTTGATAAGTTCTTTAGTGGGAATGACACTGATGAAGACTGCACATTGTAGTCGAAATACGTATCTGTCATGGATACCAAAATTAATTAAGTGGAATTAAATGGAAGATAACCTTTTTTGCTGTTTTATTTAGCATTCCGCTAACAACCCAATTTCATTACTTCATAGTTTAGTTTCACTTCTTTGTTGAAGCTTTGAAGCATCCCTCGGAATGTTTTTAGAATACATTAGCTGCCTTTCCTGACGCAAAGCCGCTACTGTTGTCTGAAAGTGCTGTCTCTGAGAAAAAGAAAGTTATTTGACCGTTTTTGGTTGACCATCCCTTAAAGATATGCTCTATTCACCTATTCTGTATTACTTATCTTCAGTATCTAGTTTGTGCTCAAAATGACTAGAGGGAGGTCACACGGCTATGTTCATAACCTGCCTCTCAAGTCGCTTGAAAGTTAAAGTTACTACGTAATGCGTAATAATCTTTCCGAAACTCATCCTAAGCCCATGCGTTGATTGATCAGTTCCTGGTAATTGATCCCAGCAGTAGTGACCGCTCATCAGCTACACATATTATTCGTTGATTTTCATGCATATAGCATTCGGTAAATCGACCCACATATCGGTCATTGCGCAACTCAAGCCAATAACAAACACATCAGCTAACCATCCACCGAAAATTGGTCCACTTTTCCCATGCAACGCAGCTTTAGTAACACACTGGCACTGACTGTTCCGGATTTGGGCATATAACAACCCGTTGTACCTGTTGTTTGTGTCCAGTATGATGTGTATTATGGAAGCATTTGTATAACCAACAAAAACTAATTTTCTTCCAATACCGAACACCGAACGCTTCGCCGCAGTCAGTGCGTAAGAAATTGAACAATAAAAAAATAGTAAGATTTAAATCACTCCATCAGCTGGATGGCTGATGCTGGAGTAATCGAATTTGTTACGCGATACAAAGTTTGGCTTACATTTTCGATGCCATGAGCGAACGTGCCTAAAACTACCGCGATAATAAGTCCAAACGCATCAGTCAGTCAGTCAGTACGGTGGTCGGTCGGCCACCGACCACGGCCGGTCACTCGGCCAGGAAGAGAAGCCGCGAGTGTCCAAATTATGGCGAATAAAAGTGAAATTACATAGCACGGTACGAGAGCGAAGAAACAAGCCAGCCACGGAGAAAGAGTATGTCGAATTTTTACGTAACCTTTAGCTGCTGGGATTTTCCTTCTCATACCAAGTAGGCACTGACTTTCTGGTTTCCAACCGAGCGATGATGCCGTGGCCTACTATAACCTGTTGCTCTCTCGTCCCGTCGTAGGCCGCTTCGGCATTTGTTGTTTACTGAGGCTCGGGAATGAAATGATTTAATTTCGTTTTTGTAATTTTTATTTTAGAAATCCTGGACAAATGCAAACCTCTACGCCAATCAGTGGCACCGGAGGCAGTTTCACGAATCCCAGTCGACAGAGATCGGAGGATCAAGGCACCGACACGGCTCCAGCGAATCCATTGGTCGGATTCATCAACGCCCTGTCCATGAGTCAAAGTGACCCAAGCCGGTGGCCAAATTTAACTGCCCTTTTTGGCAGCGAAGGAAGTGGCAGCAGTTGCGAGGAGAAATCGTTTTGTGAGATGGCACGGCTGGGAATCAATCATGATGCTGACATACTTTTCAAAATGTTGTGGAAAATTGCCAATGAGTAAGTGCAATGAGTGTTCCTTTTTTTGGATGTTGCTAAAAATTCGTCATTGTCGACTAATCAATCATTTCTCCTCTTCTGCTGACAATTTGTTTGTAGGACACCTGCCGATCATGCCCGTCAGAGTGGGCTGGAGGAAATTTTCCGCGCCGTCAAAGACGATGACTGCTCGAGATTCCACTGTGAAAGCACTTAATCTGTTACCCATCCAAGCAGGCAAGCAAGCATATCGTCGATTGGTTGCTTGGTTATCCGTCTCTTCATCACCATCACCATCGTCGTCCTAGTAATTGCCTCGTTGTCGTAGAGGTATCTCAAAGGTATCTTGGATCGTTCACCGCAAAACAATAAACCACTTTGGCGGAGGCACGCAGCGGCAAAATTTAGCTTTTATTTTCTTCCGATTTCTATAATTACGTTTCGAGGACCAATCCAAAGTGACACTCAACCGCATTCCGGAGGCGGATGAATTGTGGTGTGCTTAGCTACGGTAGAGATAACAATCAATTGAATTAAGGAGATTTTGCTTCCCCGCACGCATGCGTAAACCGAGAAGAAGTGAAAGTTATGTAACTAAAGGGTTCTTCGGATTGATATTATGTAAACTTTCGTTTTTTTTTCTCCAATGTTGAATAAAGGCTCCAAACAGAGTTACTTACTGTTACTACATCAGCAGCGTTGTCAATTTCTAATTTATGTGAAAGAGGTACTCAATCAGTCGCGGCATTGATCTTCGCGTTCGGGCCAAGTTCCAACCACGTGCTGGCGCAGTTGCGATTGCATTCCTGGTCAGTGTTAATCTGATTTTTCTTTCCCTTTTGAATTGCTTTACATCCAGCAGCAGTAAGAGATTGTGGGAATTATTATGTGAGGAAGAGACATTCAATGTTTGCTCAACATAACCTTTCCCATGTTATTACATGATCTTTGCACGCTTGGAGCGCGGGATGGATGGAATTATGCATGTTGGTACGTACATATGCTTTTTTCCCCCGGTGCTTTGAGGGAAAAATTTCCGCGAGAAGTCAACGGATGCCGTTTTGTGGTCAAGCCGGTCACATTCCATCGTATGTGTTATTTATGACCATTGATCAACGTCGCCGGCGACTTTGAGGTGAGTATGGAGATAGCTGAGAAAAGTTATGCGTCATCAAAGGTGGCTGGTTTTTAATTTGATTGCTCTTGACAGATCTCGAACTGTACGGTAAAATAAAACCAACCTCTTTTTTTTACTAAATTACTCGTTTTTCCTATGTAAAGTCTTGAATCTGATTTGCATCCCCTATACTGCACTCAGTATGTGCTGGAGTTTGTTTGATGTCCTTCTTACTAACCGGCTAATTTTACAACAATTAATTTCTCCTCTTGCGGACCCGTTTTTTCCCTCTCATACCACTCCTACTAAATTCTTCCATTCCATAATTCTGGTTGCCTGTTGGCGAACTTCACTCCAACTCGACCGTGCATTGGTTGGTAGCATGCTCCCAAATCCCAATAGGGTTTTTAAACTAATTTCCGTCCTACTAAGCACAACCCGCGCTTTACCTCTCTTTTCTGAACGAGTTTAAACAAAAAATAGAATATTTCTGTCAAAAATGACTTGCAAATTTATTCACCTTTCCATACGTACCGTTGGATTTGATCAAGAGTCACAAATTGTTGAGATATTGTCTAAAATCTAACACTGCTTCTTGATTCTAAATTCGTTCTACGAGTTTCAATTCCGTCCTAGCGCATTGAAACGCCATAAGATTTTCTTCGTCTTACGGATAAACGTGGAAAAAGGGGATTCGCTAGGAGCGCTTCTTTTGTTATGAGAACAATGAGCGTAAATATTCATACAATGCGCTCTAACAGGATTTATGTTGTAGCTAATGAACTAACGCATCGGAACAAACCTATTATTGATTTGTGAACGGTGAAATCATTGATATTATTGATCTTTTCTGATTGATAGAACGGAAATGGGAGATTACGACGAAGTAGCGCTCTACCCTATACATAGTTTTGAGGGTATGAAGACTATTTAAGCAACTTATAGGAACAAAAATCTACACACTAAGTTTTGTTTTCCCCATCCATCTGCATTAACGAGTGCTCATCAACACATTCTACTAACATTACGTTTATTTGCTGAGGATGCCAAGTATAGCTCAAAATTAAACGAAGGGAGATTTTAAGCGATAGTTAAAATTCAGAATTTTTTCTGTGTAGTCCAGACCAGTTTCGCTGAACGCAGAATCTTTCATTCTTTCAACAGTTTGTTAGAATTTCTAGGGGTTTCAACTCCGGACTTCTACATTTCTCGGACGTTTGTTACATTTGATCTTACTCAAAACAGTAATCGTTTGGTAGAATCGTTTATATGAAAAAAAAATCGATCTAGATAAAAAAAATCCTACATTTTGTTATATTGCCGAAGGCCTTTCGAAAGTAAGCTAAAACTAGAACTCACGAGATAATTGTGGTTCAAATTTCAGAAACAACTGCTCAGTCTAAACGTCATTACGATGGAATTTATTTTTGAATAAAACAGCAAAAAAAATCTTAAAAGAGCCTTTGACCAAAATGTAAATAAATCGTTGTTTGATACCATTCTATATATTTTGTTCATTAAAAATAACTTGATTTTCAAAACAGTCGGTCAATGAATTTTGCTAAATAAAACATGCTAAAACGCCTTAACATAAATTTTTTTCGTTCCATTAGGTACCATTGATAACTCTAGTGACGTAGAAGGGCCGATGATTGAAATTTTCAAATCGTTTGATTTTACTCATCTACATATGGTAATCAAAGTAAGGTTAATCAAACTTACAATCTAAACATATATTAGTTTCATAAACTCCAGATCGCGTCTAGCCAAAATATCCCGAACTGGAACATTAGGTTGTCTACCTCGAGCCCGAATGGAATCATAAAAATGTGATCTGACTCCACGATACTCCGCACAAGACCAAAGGATGTGATCAGCGTCCTGGTAACCTTGTCCACATTCACAGAGATTGCTGTCTCCCAACCCCACACGGAACAAATGAGCGTTTAGACAATAGTGATTGGACATGAGACGAGATATCACGCGTATGAAGTCTTGACCCAAGTCCAACCCTTTGAACCATGCAAACTTCGACACCTTAGGGATAATTGAATGTAGCCATCGTCCCAAGCTCCCTTCACTCCATTGATGTTGCCAGCTATCGAGCGACTGCTGACGAAAAATAGAGAAAAATTCACTATAGGCGATTTGACGATCATAAATGTCGCCTTTCATAGCGCCCACCTTCGCAAGTGAATCCGCCTTCTCATTGCCCAAAATTGAGCAATGCGAAGGGACCCACGCAAAGGTGATGATGAAAGAGCGCACGGATAAAGCACTAAGCAGCTCTCGTATTTTCAAAAATGTCAAAAATTGAATAACGTCATTTGGCAAAGTGAGTAACCTTTACTCTAATTAAATAAATATGGAATTTTACTGTTTTGAGTAAGATCAAATGTAGGAATTATAGGAACAAGTTTTCTTCATGTTTCTATCAAAGCGAGCTGAGTTGGTAATCATCATTGAAGTGTTGCCCCGTAACGTGGGTAGATCACCTTTTCGTGGTACGTTACGGGATGTAAGATCTACCACCGATTCCTAGTCTTGACTACTTCAAACTAGGGGAACAGGATTTTACAGTAATCAAAGGAACACATCTTAGTCCTTGTTACTTTTTATGCCTTGTTGATAGTGATAAGTCTTCGGGTTGCGTGGACCGAGGATGATCTTGAAACAAGGAAAAAATGAGTTAGTTAGTCTTCACCTATGTGATTCCTAATCTTCTATTCGTTGTTTCCTAGTTTGAAGTGGTTAAGACTAGGGTTCTGATGCATGGTCATTATCGGTGTCATGTCTTGCTTTTTTTGCTAAGGAATCCAATTTTGACTGACAAAGGGGCGCGCCTTTGGAGGGTGTTTCAACACTCCGAAGGGTATAAATAGCGGGACCTTTCAATTAGAATCGATTCCTTGCGATAAAGGCAAGAATGACAACTGTATCAAAACCGAATACTTCATCATTTCTCAATAGTGATGGAGTAATACGACATGCACTAAACTAAGGACACGGGATATACTACAATAGATCAAATCACTGGTCGCAGTGGTTTTATGTCCCGAACAGAAAAAAAAAAGATCAAATGTAACAAACGTTCGAGAAATGTAGAAGTCTGGAGTTGAAAGTCAATTCCCCAATAAATTGCAACACAATGTTGAAAGAATGAAAGATTCTGCGTTCAGCGAAACTGGTCTGGACTACACAGAAACAAAATCTGAATTTTAACTATCGCGTAAAATCTCCCTTCGTTTAATTTTGAGCTATACTTGTCATAAACAGCGAAATCGTTAACATTTTTGCATACAATATTGCTAATTTATGCGATATTGCGCTTAAATTTACACGAAAACCTAAAACACAACCGGGTAGAGGAGAATTGGCGCTAGCTGTTAATTTTATTGGTTTCCGTTGGCGGACTTCGGTTTGTTTACAAAGTAGAGTTGGGGCCTTTTCAATTGTTGGTCTTGAAATCATAGAACATATTTTTTTAACATAACAACACAGATTTATTTTGTAACTAATTTAGTTCAAATTTTCATGTAAATGGTAGGAAAATAGTGTATCTTTCCAACCATTAACAACATTTGTTATAAATCGTTTTTTGCCGAGCTCTTTAAATCTACCCGGGGTTAGGAACTATAGGATCAACTAGTAAAACCCCAAGAGAGAGGTGCCAGCTCAAAATTACAGATGCTTTGTTTTGGTTGTCTTCTTCTTCTTCCTTTTTGTGTAAAAAATTGTTGATGGAAAGAATCATTCAAGCGAGGATGCGCGTTTGTCACTCGGTTTGTTGATATAGTTTTGCCGTCGGAGTGTTCAAACTTGTCGTGAACTGTATGTTGTGAGCCAAGAGTTGTGAGCAAGTATCTTACTGCATATTGCTTAGAGCTATCGGGTTCGTATTAAACGGGTTTGATTTTGTGAATTCTCAATACGATAGCGAAACAGCGAAATCGTTAACATTTTTGCATACAATATTGCTAATTTATGCGATATTGCGCTTAAATTTACACGAAAACCTAAAACACAACCGGGTAGAGGAGAATTGGCGCTAGCTGTTAATTTTATTGGTTTCCGTTGGCGGACTTCGGTTTGTTTACAAAGTAGAGTTGGGGCCTTTTCAATTGTTGGTCTTGAAATCATAGAACATATTTTTTTAACATAACAACACAGATTTATTTTGTAACTA